TTTTTTTTTTTTTAAGGCTTTCTTGCAGTTGGAAGAAAATTGCTAAAATTACTTGCTTCTTTCAAGAACAGAATTAGCAAAGAATTACAAATTGTAATTTAGTGACTCGGGAGAAAGAAAACTGTGGATCCCCATAGTGACAAATTCTGCAATTCCAAAAGGACTGGCAAAACTTCTGAAAGAAATGGTCATAGACAGAAGCACAATAACACAATTACAAAAAATGGCAGTACCGTACTTGGAGCAGTCTAGATACCTAGATTCTTGGGGGGAAATCCAAATCTGCTGCCACACTGCAGAATTAATGCAGTTTGACACTGCTTTAACTGTCATGACTCAAAGCTATGGGATCTTGGGTTTTGCATTTTGTTGTGGCATCACAGCTCTCTGCCACAGAAGGCCAAATAACTCACAAAACTACAAATCCCAGGATTGCACAGCATTGAGCCACAGCGGTTAAAGTGGTGTCAAACTGCATTGGTTCTGCAGTGTAGATGCAGTGCCCAGATCGTTCCAGTTAGTTACAAGCTCACATTACGACTTCTTCATTTGTTACACCAAAATCTTCAGAGAGAAACAGATGCAACTTCAGCCGAAGAACTCTGTGTCAGTAGAAAGTCTGCAGGTTCTTGCACTAAGATATTTTTCGAGAGGGATCGAGAGAGATCATTTCACCTGGGGAATATTTTTCCAGGTCACACACAAGCACCTGTCCTCTCCCTTTTCTCCCTTTCCTCATCCATGATTCCTACTACTACTAATAATAGTACTCCATTTACTCAAAGGAGACCTCCATTGCTTCAGGTCCCTTTGTGTGAATGAGCATCTCCAGGACGTCAGACAATTAGCCGGCTCCTCGCCGTCCGCCTTTCAAAAGCCCCATTACCAGACTACATGGTTTCATCATTTATTAATGTTTCATTAGTGCTGAAAACATATGGTCATTCATTATGCACTGATTATAGATTATGGACCCTAAAAGCCTGAGTGATTTATAACAGCCGATGGCAGCTTTTCTCCAGAAGGGAAGGCACACGGCTCTTCCGAATGGGCACGAATGGGGAATTGTGTCCCTTGTTCCACCGTCCAAGCATCTTGTTTGGGTCCAGATTTGGGGACGGAGGGAAGGAGGAAGATGCAATGATGCACTAGAAGGCCTGGATGACCGGCAAGTAGAACTGGACGCTTGACCGCTTGCTTCTCACGGCTTGCCTCTTTGTCTTCAAGCCCTTTCCAGCTTATGGCAACCCTAAGAGGTTTTCTTGGCAACCGTTGTCCAGGGGAGGTTTTGCCATTGCCTTCCTCTGAGGCTGAGAGAGTGTGACTTGCCCAAGGTCACCCAATGGGTTTCATGGCTGAGCTATGTGTGTTTACTATTATATTGCAGCTACTCCAATATATTGCATTGCAGCTATTATATTGATTATATTATATTGCAGCTATTATATTGATGCTACTGCTGCATCTAGAAAAAGAAAGTATTTTACATTTTATAATTTCGTACAGTGCTCTGGAAACTTTGATTGGTGCGTGACACAAAAGGGCATGAATAACAACAACAAGAACAACAACACTTTATCTGATAAAGTAGACTTGAGACTTTATCACTTGTGGGTTTTAAACCGCCATAAAAGTTGGATAAAAGCACCTTTGGCAATACCTATTGCACAACACCATCACTCCCTATTGGGTATATTCATTGGGCACATGGAGGAGAAACAATGGAGAGGTAACATGTTGTTGTTGTTGCTGTTGTTGTTGTATGCCTTCAAGTCATTTCCAACTTCTACCAATCCTATCATTGGGTTTTCTTGGCAAGATTTATTCAGAAGAGGTTTGCCATTGCCTTTCCCTGAGGCTGAGAGTATGTGACTGGTCACCCAGTGGGTTTCGTGGCCAAGCTGGAAATTGAACCCTAGTCTCCAGAGTTGTAGTCCAACCTATTGTGTGTGTGTTGCGTGTCCTCAAGTGGTTTGTGACTTATGGCAACCCTAAGGAAAACCTGGAGTTTTCTTCGCAAGATTTGTTCAAAGGATGTTTCGTCATGGCCTTCCCCTGAGGCTGAGAGAGTGTGACTCACCCAAGGCTACCCAATAGGTTTCATGGCTGAGCTAGGAATCAAACCCTGGTCTCCAGAGTTGTAGTCCAACGCTCAAACCACACTACGCCACACTGGCTCTCAGGGCTTGTCTACACCGTTAAAATACTCCTCGTTCTATTCAGTAAGAATGCGAGACACGCAATTCCGAAGAGTTCGGGCTTTTTGCACATGGGGATGGGGATGAAAAACACCACAAAGCAGGAAAAGGCTTTGTGCTTTTTACCGGAAGATGTGCATTACGGAACTTGTGGTTTGCATGGATTTGCATTGCTGTGAATATTCGGCAGCGGCAGGGCAAATAGATGCAAATTTGCACAGGAAAGTGAAGGGGAGGAAACGTCAATGCGAATGCGTGAAAGTCCGCAGCAATTTACGTAATACATTCGCATGTAGACTGGTCCTGATTTTGGGCATGAACCCCCCAACCCCACCCTCTGAAAATTGCCCATCCCTATTGATGGAGTGTCCTGTATGGAAACCATATGCACTCTGCTACTAGTGATGCCTGGTGCCTCCATGTCAGAGGGGCAGTGAATCCACTCCAGGTTTTAGGCTCAAGAATTTGGATTGCTCCTTTAAATTCAGGATAAAACCTGGGATGGATTCACCACCCACCGGCACTGGAGCCACTTTCCTGCTCCTTAAGCAAGAATACTCACTATTTCTGTAATGCAATTTGATAAGCAATTGGCCCTCATTGTTCATTGCACAAGGCTATCAAGAGGAGGAGGATCATATGGTTCTGTGCTGGCTGAGAAGGAGGAGGAGGATCATATGGTTCAGTGCTGGGTCTAAAATCCAACCAGATGTTGAATGTCATGCAATGGGGTAGACATCCCCAAACTGGAAGTCTCCAGATGTGGTTCACTACAAATCCTCAGGCCATAATACTGTGGGATATGTAGTCCAACACATCTGGAAGCTCTCGTGTTGAACAAGATAACTTAAAATTACACACAAAAAGAGGGCTTTTGAAGGAATTAATAACAAAATATGTCATTGGGGACAATGGTGACAACCAAATATGCCATCATGTGTAAATCCCATAGTTCTTTTCAAAACTACAGACCTGATTAATGAATTAATTAACAAGCAAGGCAATAAACTGAATTTCCACCATCCCAGCATTAACAACAATGAATTGATTATTTCCTTTTCTAATTAGCAGTGTTCACAAATTAATTACACAGGCCAGCAATAAAAAACCTTTTTTTTTCCCAATATTGTAGCTGTTTCTAATATATTTTGGGGTGCTGAGTTTTTTAAAAAAAACACAATAAAAGTGTCATATCACACAGTTTTTTCTCCAATTTGATATTTTTTATCAATGGAGTTGTTACTCAGCTTTGATTAAGTATGGATGCTGATATTCTGGTTCAGTTTCTTTTAATGCTTTTGTACAGATTTTTGTGTTTCATATCAGTGAATTAAAGTGTCTTGAAAGTCTATTAGAAGACTTTAACCCCTTACTTATTCATTGCAGGGTAATTCTTTGTAGGATCGTTTCATTCAGTGCCATATTACAACACAGAAACCTCAAAGCAAGTTGTGGAAAAGCTACGTGATGAAGCAAATGGGAGGTCCTTTTTGGATTTAGAACACCAAATTCTTAGAAAAACATTTTCTTCAACTTGATTTTGAAGGCCTGTGTTATTAGCCTTCCAGGTCTGAGTAAGACGTTAATATGGACTGGGAGCCTTATGTTTTGTTCCAACAAGAGTCGACCCAATCAGCCAACTATTGAACCACAGAATCATGGAATCGTACAATCATAGAGTTAGAAGAGACCCCAAGGGCCATCTAGTCCAGCCCCCTTCTGCCATGCAGGAGCACACAGTCAAAGCACTCCCAACAGATAAAAACCTCCAAAGATAGAGACTCCACCACACTCCAAGGCTGACTAAACAGATATTACCATCAGGACGTTCTTCCTAATGTTTGGGTGGAATTTCTTTTCTTTTAGGTTGCATCCATTGATCTGGGTCCTAGCCTCTGGAGCAGCAGAAAACAAGCTTGCTCCCTCCTCAATAGGACATCCCTTCAAATATCTAAATGGGGCTATCACATCCCCTCTTAACCTCCTCTTCTCCAGACTAAACATCCCCAGCTCCCTAAGTCTCTCCTTATAGGGTTTTTTGGTTTTCAGACCTTTCATCATTTTGGTCACCCTCCTCGGGACACGCTCCAATTTCTCAACATCCTTTTTGAATTGTGGTGCCCTGAATTGAACCCAGCGTTGCCAATAAGACAACACAGAGTGTTGAGCCAACGCACAAGTGAATCCTATTGATTCAATGGCCACACTCTGTGGTCTTGAGCCTTCAAGTCACCTCTGACTTATGACAATGCTCTCCTAGCCTTTCTTCTAAGGAGGTTTGCCCTTCTCTTTCTGACTGAGAGAGGGTGACTTGTTGAACATCAAACACTCAAACCAGTACATTGCACCTGTGGTGTCTCTTCTATTGGTGTGACCCAGTATAAGTGCCTGGAAGGGGATACTGGGGTGGTGGTGCCTTGCCCCCCTGCTTTCCCATTGTCTCACCTGGCTCCCTGGATGCT